ATTTGTGTACTTTAAATTTATATTGTCTCCAAAGATTATATATTGCTAAGACAAAAAGAAACAGAGAAATTAAGTTGGTGAGAAACTTACATGATAACTTCTTGTCCATAAATCTGAAAAAGCAAGAGTAAAAATTATGACCTACTTAAAAAAGTATAAAAAAGCACAGAATCAGCTAAATTAAAATAATATTTTGGGGCTAGAGAAGATGGCTCAGGTGTTGATACTCAGGAGCTTGATATTCCTCCAGAAGACCTGAGACCAGTTTCCAACACCCATGCCAGGTGCTTCATCACCACCTGTAACTTCAGCTCTCGAACATCCCAGGGCATCTGCGCTGCACACACCTCAATCTCAGTACTCGGGAGGCAAAGGCAGGAGGATCTCAGGTTCAAGGCCAGCCTGGTCTACAGAGCAAGTTCCAAGACGGCTGTTACAGCAGACTCCATCAGCTCCAAGACTTACTAGTGACAACAAATTTTAAGAACTAGAGAGATGGCTCAGAGGTTAAGGGCACTGGCTGCTCTTCCAGAGGTCCTCAGTTCAATTCCCAGTTACCACATGGAGGCTTACAATCATTTATAATGAGATCTGGTGTCCTTTTTTTTTGGCATGTAGGCAAACATGCAGGCCGAACACTGTATACATAATAAATAAAATCTAAAAAGAAAAATATAAAAGAAAAAGAGGTGGAAAGGGGAATGCACTCAGGACAGGGAGCTCAACTTGGAAACTACTGAGATAATTGGTTAGACGTGATTAAGAACCACTTTGTTATGCTAAACTAGGAGCAAGTGGTAGAAGAGGGACTTATGAGAAAATAAAAGAGGCAAACCTACAGTATTTTACAATTCCTAAAATCTAAGGATGAGAAGAGGAAGGCACCAAACTTCAGGGAACAGGGAATAAAGTTCAGGAGTAGAGCAGCAAGCATAAGGCCCTGCCTCAATCACAACACCACAAACCAACCAACCAAAGTCAAAACACAACTAATACAGACACAATCACTAGTTCCAGTCTCTGAAAGGCCCAAGTACATCTGTAAAGACTCAAAGGACATTTAAGATTACAAGTACAGAACAGTTTTTTTTTTAACCAATGATCATTTTTTGCCAATTCCAACGAATCCAGAAAATATAAGACTTCATGCACGAGCTCGTTAATAAGACCAACAGTGCAGGGTAATTTCTGCTTTTTAAAATGTCCACATTATGGTTTAATAGATCTTTAACAGATCCAACTAAAAATGAAGGTTTCAGATAGAGGTTTCTTTGATAAAAAATGTGCACTCAAATACAAAATTAGTAAATGTGACCTTTTCCGTGCACTGGCGTCTTTACAGGACCAGTAATAAACAGGCTATACATAAAGCAGATTATGTGGCCAGATAAACGACCCAGTATTAATCTTGCACCCTGCAGAATCTCAGCCTTACATATGCGACAGGCTCAGGCCAGTAAGTAGTGTCCGAGGAGACCAAAGCTTTAAACTAGGTCCTGTTGAACTCACTGATGTCTTACTGGTTGATTTTACTGAGCACAGATTAAAAATATGCAAAAACTAGCTGTCTCTGATTAGAAAACGGATGTTCTTCTACGGACTTATGACCAGGACAAGATACCACACAACATTTAAATTTCACTTGCATGCAAGAAGGCAAGTAAGTGTGTTTATGCATCAGAAACCTAATTCTTGGGGCTGGCGAAATGGCTCAGCACTTTCCGCTTTCTAGAGAACACGAGTTTGGCATTAAGTACCCACGCCAAGGAACTCACAACCTCCCGCAACTAACTACTGCTCCACGGAATCTGGATCAGAAGTCCTCTCTGGCCTCCGTAGGCACTGCACCCACGTGCACAAACATGTCTGTGGGCATCAAACACACACACATACACACGTAAAAAAACTTCACTATAAACTTAAAAATTTTTACAAAGAGAAAAGAAAGAGGAACGGTACTTCCAAAAGTTCAAAAAAATACAAATACATTCTGTTTATGCCAGGGTCTCACTTTTTAAGCCTAGACTGTCCTGGAACGCGCGGTAATCTTCCTGCCTCAACCTCCTGAGTATTGACCCTCTGTGTAACAGCCCTAACTCTCCTGGAACTCGCTTTGTAGACCAGGCTGGTCTCGGTCTCCCGAGTGCTGGGATTAAAGTAGTGAGCCACCAAGTCCGGCTTCCCAAAAGCACTTTAAAAAATAATTTATTTCATGTGCATTGGTGTTTTGCCTGCATGGATGTCTGTGTGAGGGTGTATGATCTTGAGTTAGAGCTGTGAGCTGCATGTGAGTGATGGGAACTGAACCCTGGTCCTCAGCAAGAACCGTTGAGCCATCTCTCCAGCCCGTCAAATGCACTTTTTAAAGCTGTGAGTTTCTGGTTCCTCAGAGGAACCATGCGCCTCGGTGTAGACTGCTGCCTTGGTCCCTAAACCAGATAGCCCTCTGGCCGCCGCCTTTGGAAGGCGGAGAACCGCCACTGCGGTAACCATGCCGACCGGACTTCAGGGCCACTTCCGGCACCCACGAGCGCCGGGACCTGCGGGCGCAGCCCAGGCAAGGCGGGAGGAGGGTTCGCGCGGCCTCGGCCGGGTGGGCATTACTCACTTCTTCAGTTCGGGAGGGTGGGCCTTGCTCATGGCTGCTCTTCAGCGGGCTCAGCACGACGGAAAGGAGCGGGCGGCCTTACAGACGCACGCGCGGCAGAACGGGCGCGGATGTCTGACGTCACCGCCGCGCGAGGCAACCGCTTTCCGGTAAGCATTACTTTCGTCTCGCGATACTGAGAAGACCGCCTGAAGCAGAGCCGCGCTTCCGGTCGCGTTGTGACTGGCCAGGACTGAGAGGCGGTGCCTCAAGTAAGCGGCTTTTGTGTGAAGTTCAAACGGCAGGTTCCGCGCTACTCTGAGTGTCACTTTTTAAAATTCTTCCCTTTCCTTTTTTCTTTCTATTTACATTTTCGTTGTTTCTCCTCCCTTTTCCTCGCTCATCCCGTTTTTGGTGGAATTGATGCGGGCGTCTGGCTTGCCGTGTAGTCGACGCTGGTCTAGAACCCGTCTTGTCTCTGCCTCCCGTGTTTACAGGCTGCTGCACCACGCAGCCCTTTGTTTGCTAAGTGTACCCAGGCGAAGGTGACGGCTCCTGCAGCACCCACATTAACGAATGGCTTCTCTGCACCAGCAGCGGAAGGGGCCGAGGCTGACTAGGATGTGAATCCAGAGCCTGCAGCCCGCAGTTCCAACACTGCCTCCCGAGCCCCATTTGGCACATCTCGGTCCCTGCACATAAAATGCATGCGAACCATATGCAAGTCCTGAGGTCTTGCGCCTGCCTCTGCCTCGTGTCCTGGGGATAGATAAAGGTGTGCACCTTCTCGGGATGGCGCTGTCCTCAAGTGAACATCCCCAGACATGCTGTCCACAGATTTGTTGGCTGGAGGCAGCTCTTCAGCCGAGGTTCCTAACCGTGTGACTAGTTTGTGTCGTTGACCAAAATTAACCAGCACCAGGAGTCTTTAAACTATGTACTCTTCCCACCACTTGGTGTGTTAGTTTGAACTAGAAAACGAACGTTCAAACAACTCAGCTTTCTTGACGTCTCTGTATGTAGTCCAGGCTGTCCTCACACCAGGGCAATCATCCTCCCCTCAACCTATGCACCCCGATCTTTTTTTTTTTTTTTTTCTGGAGGCGCTTTTGAGACAGTGTCTCTGTGTAGGCCTGGCTGTCCTCAAACTCAGAGATCTGCCTCCCGAGTGCTGGGATTAAAGGTGTGTGCCACCACCACTTGGCTCTGGGTATCTTTTCTGTATTAACAGACTTCAAGCTATGATACTCTGACTTTCCCTTAATGCTACCCATCTGCTACTATGCACTCTCAGGATGTCTTAAAATTCAGAGGCATACTGACATATCACTACCCACTAGGAAAGAGTTGGAGACAATGAAACTTTATTTAAAAACAAAACCACATGGAAAATATATTGCAGGCTTGACAGCAAATTGACAAGTATTATCACTGTTTCAAGTAATTAATTGGTATAAATACAACATAGTACTTATCCAAAAGATAAGGTGCCATGTTGGGGCAGCAACACTGCACTGCAAAACCCCAGGCAAAAATGGCATTTGGTAAGTTGTGTGCCTCTCTTGCTCTATAGTGGTCCTAGTTTTCCTTGGCCCAAATTGGTTGGTTTTAGGTCTTGTTGCTAGAGGATTACCTCCAAAAGGCTCTGTGAATTCAGGGAGCGGAAGGAGTAATACTGGGTTTGGACTTTTACTTTGTAAAATTTAGGTTTTCCAAACCTAGTACATCTTAACAGTTCTCATATGACTCTTTACTCTCAGCTACTGGTATGTGACAATCACATCCCTTGTTCTTCATGGAAATGTGTCACTTTGCACAGAAGTCATAGAAGGAAGCTGTTTCCTATGTACTGTGATACTGCCCTCCTTCAGGGGCTTCCAGAATTGACAGAATTTGAGTAAGTGGACTTTCCCATCTTGATGGCCAAAGAGTACAAGGAGCCTTCAGAAATTATTCAAGCTACTCTCCCTCCTGTATCTTAAACCCATTTTGTGCCCTTGCATATAAGACAAAGGAACCCCTTTCCTCCCTCTAAAGTGGGTGTTGTTTTGAAGCACATGCCAAGTGTGGGGACACTTGTGGGAAACAGGAGCTTGGTATCAGACACACCTTTCCTCAAACTTTACCAGCAGGTTGAAGGAAGCTCAGATGTCTGTGTAGTGAGAATCTGAGCCTTTGGTAAAAGGGCAATCTCTACTGCCAGAACAAGCATCTGCACACGAAAATTTAGGATCTAGAATTCTCCCCTGTGCTATATGTCATCCGAATTTCAGCACCAGCTTCTTTCCACTTCACCTTCTAAGATTCAGATGCAAAGGAACTGGTGTCCAGAGGTGAGCAGCATTTGCCTGGAACTTGCTGTGTCCTGAGTTTTCCTCATTTATAAACTTGCTTAACAGATTAAACTTCCATTCTTCCTTCTAAATAGCGTGCCCTCAGACCCATGGTCACTGGCAAACAATTTTATTTCTCGATGGATGACAGAGACTCCTTCATCTTTTTGGTCATTGTTGGGATGAGGTGCATGTGGTCATCCACACACTTGGCCACACAGCTATCCAGCTGTCGCTTCACCTGCTGCTCTTTATTTCCTGCATCTATGGAGTCTTTGGCTTTGTCACTGCAATGCATGGTGCACCGGGCCAGACGGTCCTGTGGTGAGGAGGAAGAGAGAGAAGGCTGAGAGGTTGGCTTCCACTGTCTGGTGTTGGTCCCACGTTAGGTCTTGGGTTACAGGTTTCATACAGATCTCTCTGCCAGTTACTAAGTACAATATTTTCTTAGCTAAAACAGAAGGTACCATTGGGAAGGAACTGTTAGAAAGTAAGAGGATTGAAAAAAAATGAATTATATTCAAGACGCTAGCAGCAAACAAAAGACTACTGTTAAATTTCTTTTTCTTCCATTTTTTTCATGTGTATGGTGTTGTGTGTTTTTATGCGTGTATCTGTGGACATAGAGGCCCAAGGTACCATCCTCCATGTTTTTCTACATATTCAGTGGAGCAGGGTCTCTCAACCAGACCCAGAGCTCACTGATATGGTCAGTCTTGCTTATCAGCTTGCTCTAGATAGTCCCTGCTTCTGCTTTCTGAGGCTGGAATTACAGGTGGGCTGCCATGCCAAAGAGACAATGGTTTTTTGTAAACTGAACTCTGGGCATGTTTGTGTGGCAAGTGCTTTAACCCCTGAATCATCTCCCTAGCAGACATTTTAATTCTTTAATGTTTGTCCTTGGTACAGAAAAACAATTCAAACATTTGTCAGGCATCTATTATATGCCAGGCTTTCTTCTAACATGAAATACAGAAACAACCAAGGCATAACTGTTCCTGCTCACATGGAATTTACAGTCCAGAGTAGAGGCGTTAAGAAGAGAGTGGGATATGTGTCAGAAGCTCAGGAGTGAATGTAAGTAAGCAGTCAGGGGTATCCAACATTTTGGCTTCTCTTGGCCATACTATTATCTATAAACTTTATGCTCTGGAAGTGTAAAACTACCAGGCATGGTGGCACATGCCTTTACTCCCAATACTTGGGAGGCAGAGGCAGGTGGATCTCTGCGTTCCCAGTCAGACTGGTTTATAGAGTGTTCTAGGACAGCCAGGGTTATAGAGAAACCCTGTCTGAACCTCCCCTCCAAAAAAATAAAAAATAAAAAAAAGATAGCAACCACATATGCAAAATGTCTCATAATAGATTTATAATTTTATGTTGGGCTGTATGTGACCCAGAGGCTACAAGTTGGGCATCGCTGCTGTAGGATATTAACAGTTATGAGTGCTATGATTTTCTGTCTCTTTAAGAGACAAGCCATGCCAGCTCCCCCATCCTCTGAGGCAGGCTGATCTTCAGCTTCCGGCCTCAGCTCGCTCTCTTTTCCATCTTCCTCTCAGAGGCAGCTTCGCATCTGCCTCTCCCCCAACCCTTCTCCTTTCCCCCTTCATAACTCCCTGAATAAATATTCAACCTCACTCTGCAAGTCGTGTCTATCCACGTCTCTGTCTTCTGCCCGCCTGCCATGTGTCTCCCTGCCTGGGACCGGCAGCCGGCAGCAGTCTCTGCCTGGGACTGGCTGCTCCCAGAGCCCGCTGTCTGCCGCCACATGGCCCTCTACCACTATTTGGGACCTATAGCATTTCTGCTGCCTACTGCTGTTGGGGATCTTGAAGCATTTTTAGAAAAAATATAAAAATGAGAAAAGAAGTCAGGACTTAGGGCTGGAAAGATGGCATAGTGGTTAAGAGCACTGGCTGCTCTTCCAGAGGTCCTGAGTTCAATTCCCAGCATTCACATGGTGGTTCACAACCATCTGTAATATGATCTGATGTCCTCTTCTGGTGTGCACGACAACAGAACACTCATGTACATAATACATAAATAAATAAAAAAGCCAGGACCAATGCGGGTCTGTGTGCTCTACTGGGCAGAGGCTGGAAGCGGGCAAATACAGCAAAGGAAGCAGAGACAAATGGCCTGGAAGGTGGAAAACCAGGAGTGAGGTGTCCTGTGGTCAGACGGTTAAAGTGCTTAAAGGAGGAGAGGGAATTACTGTGTAGATAGTCAAGGCGGAGGGCTGAGTACTGACTGCAGACCTAGTCCTGTGGGTACCGAGTGCGAGTTAGCAGGCTTCACTTCACTTCAGTGACTAAAGTGAAGGAAGGACAAACTCATATAGCAGCCCAAGAACGAACTTTCTAAAGATCTCATCTGGAAGTTTCTCAAAATGAAAAAAGGAGCAATGCTCTGCTGTTAATTCCTCACAATGCCTGGGCCTTTGAAGAGTTTTACACATCAGAGTGTGAAAGTGTATCCTGTAGGGCCCCGGTCTACCCCTGCTCCTGTGGTAACTTGAGGACAGTTTCTGGTCAGCCAGCTAACACATTCTGTTTTTGTGCTTCCTCAGCCCTGCCTGGTGATTACCTATAGGGCATTGTTTACTCCATGTTGGGTGTGGCAATTTCCACCTGCCTGGAGGGGAAATCCTTGTACAGCAGCTAGGTATTTAAGGATTTTCCCAAAGTTGAATAAACAGCATTCAGCTGATCTCCTGGTCTCTTGTGTGTGTTATTTCAATCTCCAGGCCCTTGCCTGGCTCGCGTACAGTACAGTGGCACGCTAACTGTACCAAGAGGGTAACACAGAATCGGGTGTTTGTTACAGTATCCCACGTTAGGTGTAACTGTGGGGTGAATGGAACCCCATGCTACTGGATGAGTGCTTCCAACCCCACAAAATACACTTAGAGGAAGGGAGAAAAATGAAGGTATGGACAGTTTTTGTTCCAGGAGGGAAAAGGAGATTTTTTTTTCTTTTTTTTTTCGAGACAGGGTTTCTCTGTGGCTTTGGAGCCTGTCTTGGAACTAGCTCTGTAGAGCAGGCTGGTCTCGAACTCACAGAGATCCGCCTGCCTCTGCCTCCCCGAGTGCTGGGATTAAAGGCGTGCGCCACCACCTCCGGGCCGGGAAAAGGAGATTTTTTTTTTAAAAAAAATATTTATTTACTTATTATGTATACAATATTCTGTCTGTGTGTATGTCTGCAGGCCAGAAGAGGGCGCCAGACCTCATTACAGATGGTTGTGAGTCACCATGTCGTTGCCGGGAATCGAACTCAGGACCTTCAGAAGAGCAGGCAATGCTCTTAACTGCTGAGCCATTTCTCCAGCCCCTGGAAAAGGAGATTTTATAGCACACTGTAGGGGCCTGGTGTAACAGGTTTGTAATCCCAGCAGGTGGGAGGCAGACACAGTTGCATTGCTATGAATTTCAGGCCAGAGCAGAGACCCTGTCTCAAAAACCTGTAGAATACTAATGCTTTTTATGACTGAGTTTTCTGTACTACAGAAGCCTCTCTCCAGGTGTCCTAAATAGAGGATGTTCTGGGGAGGGTTTAAGTTCATAAATATTGTGAAGGTCTTACTCTAGTCTGCACCTTTTAAATTGTGTGTGCACATGTAACTGGCATGTGTGCTGTTTCATGCCTATAATGTCAGAGGACAACTTGTGGAGCTGGTCCCTCCTTCTATCTTTATGTGGATTCTGGGACTCAAACTCAGGTTGCAAGGCTTGTGTAGCAAGTACTGAGCTAGCCAATAATCTGCATCTTTTAAAGACTTAATACCTTAGTCAACTTTTCAGGAAATTACATTATTTTAAAAATGAATCAAAGAAGAGGAACTCGTGAGGTCCCACTCTTACCTGAGGAGCTAAGCTTTTTCTTTCTTTTTTTATCCTGGAACTTGCTCTGTAGACCAGGCTGGTCTAGAACCCAGAGACTCTCCTGGTCCTGCATCCTGAGTGCTGGGTTTAAAGGGGTGCACTACCACTGCCTGGTCGGTAGTTATTGTGTACAACGTGTGTGTAGGAACCTGCAGAGCTCAGAAGAGTTGTCATATCCCATGCAATTGGAGTTGCAGATGGCTGTGAGCTGCCATGTGGGTCCTGGGAACCTGACCTGGGTCTTAAGATCAGTAAGTGTTCTAATCTACCGAGCTGTCTCTCCAGCCCTGAGCTACTGGCAGTTAAAGGTTGCTGCAGGAAGCAGTCATTTTTCTTTAGTGATGCCACCACTGTTAAATTGTCCATGCTCATGCATCCAACCTTAATTGAATTCAGAGGGAGCAGTAAAAAAGAATAGGAGGAAGACTTATAAAAAATGGGTCCAGGAGATGGGGGGAGGGTAAAAATGTTTTCAAAATATATTATATGTATGAAATAGTCAAAGAATGAAGAAAATAATAATTAAGTCTGTATGTTTTAATTCTTTTGAGATTTTTACCTTTTATGTGTATGAGTATTTGCCTAAATATGTTTGTGTACCACCATGTGTACAGTGACCATAGGGGGTCAAAGAGGGCTTCAGAGTCCCTGTGACTAAGGTTATAGATGGTTGCGAGCTGCCATATGAATGCATTTTAAGTTTTATACTACACGGCATAGACTGCTTTTGGCACCCAGCATGTCAAATGACAATCAAAAAGGCATAAAGTCACTTGGCTATAAACTCCGTTGGCAACTTTCTTTCTTTCTTTTTTTTTTTTTTTAAGATAGGGTTTCTCTGTGGCTTTGGAGCCTGTCCTGAAACTAGTTCTTGTAGACCAGGCTGGCCTCGAATTCACAGAGATCCGCCTGCCTCTGCCTCTGGGATTAAAGGCGTACTAACTTTTTTTTTTATTTATTATGTATACAATGTTCTGTCTGTGTGTATGCCTGCAGGCCAGAAGAGGGCACCAGACCTCATTACAGATGGTTGTGAGCCACCATGTGGTTGCTGGGAATTGAACTCAGGACCTTTGGAAGAGCAGGCAATGCTCTTAACCGCTGAGCCATCTCTCCAGCCCTAAGGCGTACTAACTTTCTATTGTTATGGAAAAAGTACATTTCTACGGGAAAATACAGCACAACTTAAAGCACTCAACTCCCAGGGCCTTTCCAAAATTTCAAACCCCAAGAATACCAGTTGGCCAAAGGACTGCCACCAGTGTTAACAGAACCAAGGCCCTACAGCAGAATAAATTGTTCTCACGTCTCACCAAAGAGCTGTTCAAGGACTTGAGAACTCTGAGGCATTCCTCACCTGGAACCTTTCCAGCTCACTGGTCACCAAGGCCTGGGCTTGAGCCAAAGGTGCATGGCAGCGTTCGATGCATTGGTGCACCTGCTGCATAGATGCCTGGTTGTCCTCACAGCAGTTGGCGCTGCACCGGAACATGAGACCCTGGGGAGGGAGGGCAGAGCCTGGTTAGAAAAGAAAGACTCTGACACTACCAGGGTTTGGAGGCTATGCTTCAGCCTGTATCTTCCTCACCACCCTTTGCTTCACTTTCCCTGCGAGACCGGGATGATTACCCCAGCTAGCATTTATGCGCTGGGGATATATGTTCTTGGGAGAGCGCTTGCCTAGTTCTAAGATAGCTCTGAGTTCCATCCTCACCACCAAGGTGGAGGCTCAAGCCTGTGATCCATCCTTAGCACTCCGAGGGTGGAGGGAGGCAGGGAGATCTGTGGTTGGAAGCCAACCTGAGTTAAACGAGTCCTTGTCTCACGGGTACACAACGCGCCCAAGACTGGGCGGAAGAAAACATATTCTGAAAACCAGGTATCTACAGCAGAGTTCAGAGGTCGGCCTGGTTAGTCAACGCCCCATTAGGGGGACGACCCACAGTCGACCGTCGGGTCGTAAGGTTAAGAGAAGCAGGCAGGGAAAGGAGGCGGGGCCGCCTCCGCTGTGTTCAGGGTTCGTGGCATATGAACCAGCACAGGACAGCCAGAAGAGTCCTGGTGGTTCTCCTGAGCTGGGTCCTTCAGGCCTCGCGCCGGATTACCGCAAGGGCGGCCGAACACGCGTGACCGAGGCCAGGCAGGAGGAAACGGCCCCGCGCTCGAACGTCACCGCCCCAGCCCTCCCGAGCTTTCCAATCCCACTCGAATGCGAGGCCGCGCAGCCACCTGCATCTTCCGGATGTTCTCTTTCTCCACACTTTTCACCATGGCGTCCACGGCCTCCTGCACTCGGAGTTGCTGCACCTCCGCCATGGCGACCCTGGCGCCCGCGTGCACCCGCTGCGCCCCGCCCCCTGCGCTCGTGCCGGGTCCTCTAGTTGCTCCGCCCCGTCCCAAAGCTCCGCCCCTTGCGCGCGTGTCGTATGCTCTTGTCGCTCCGCCTCTTCCTTACGCCCCGCCCCCTGCGCTCGTGCCAGGTCCCCTAGCGGCTCCGCCCCTCCCACACGCCCCGCCCCTCTTCGCCCAGCCCTTCGCCTCGGCCCCTAGCCACTAAGTCCCGCCCTTTCACGCTGAACCCTACTCGCGCCGGCTCACCCGCAAAGTCTACCGGGTACCTTGTCCCGCCCCCTGGCCATCGCGCGCCTAGTTCTCAGCCCGCACTCCCTTCCCGAGCCCTCATCGCCTCCTGGCGTCCAGATTGAGCAACTACAGGCAGGAGCTGCGTACGCCCCAGCTTCTTCAGTAGATCAAGATTTTGGTGGCCATCGAGCTCCAGGCAGATCGGCCTTTTCCATTCTTCCTCCCTTTCTCTCTCACCCCCGTCCTTTGTAATTAAAAACAAAAACAAGACACCAAAAAATTAATGTAATTATTAGCTCTTGGGTGTACAGTTTGATCAGTTAGTATTTCGTCTTGGTTCCTTTTTGTTGCGGAGTAGAATTTCATTGGTTGTATATACCACAATGTCTTTACTCAGTTTCCCAGTTGGTGAACGGTTTTGACGCGTGACTAGTTACTGTGACTAAAGGGTACTCTTGAAGAAATTATTTGTAGATACGGGTTTCTTCTGGTTTAGGGTAGGGCAGATCTGCATTTCTGCATGTAATTGTGAAAGGAATTAGTTTAAAGAGCAGTGCGGGCTAGGAGGCCTGTGGATATCGAGGCTGTAGAGTGTGGATGGTAGTAAGAGCGAGCCGCTCCTGAACTCCTGGATTGCTTTTATGGGCCATGTGCCCTCACGCTCCCATTTCTATAGTCTTATGCTGATATCTGTCAAACACTCATGGCTGCTGGTCTATGACGTAGGGGCGGGGTGCAGAGAGGAGCAGCAGTAGGGAGGGAAGGGGGCTGTTGCAGGCTGTGTTGGAAAAGCTGGGCAGTAGATGGTCCCGCTGGAGAGAAGGGAGGGAACCGTTCAAGTGTTCCCGGAAATCTCTCCTTTAGAGGTGAGCTTGTAAAAATCTTTAGATTGAACCAGAAGGTCCTTGCCTAACACTCAGGAGGAGGAAAAGAATGCCAGGCAGGCACGGTAAGCTGCAGTGGATGAAACAGAGAAAGAGATTAAAAACAAAAAAGGACGAAACCGAGAAGAAGCTTTGTGGAAATCGACTGGAGTGGAAAAAGATTGGCGTGAGTGACTTTAGGCACTTGCTTCTACTGGCCACTAGACGGCAGGATAACCCCGATTTGAGCGTAGGGAAAGCTTGCCACAACCCATTGTCCTTTGAGGAAAGCTGAGCTCCTAGGTGGCCACGCTGGTACTGGGGAGAGGACTGTTCACTATTTCAAGCCGGGTGTACAGGGGGCTCCCAGGAGCAGCTGGAGTCAGGGCAATGACAGCGGTTGCCAACAGTCCAGGTGTTTTGCAAGTACTTGACGTGGGGTCTGAAGTGGGTTCTTCACTGTTCATTTTTCTCTCATTGGGCAGAAAATCCAGGCAGACAAGGTAAAGGCTCTGGAACATTTAAATCCTACCCAAGACGCCCTACCCAGCCTGGCTGACACCGCACTGTGGAAAGAAGTCTCTCTTGAGACTGACTTCATGAGTCCAGATCCCGTAGTTCTTTATAACAGCACAGTCTAACACTTCTCTTTTTCTTCATGCCTAAAATGTACGGTGGCGTTCGGCAGCCTCTTCTTCATTAAGGCTCGGTTTTTTCACACTGACCTATGGTTCCAAGTCCTTTCTAATATGACTTTGTTAGTTTCAGTACGCAAGAGAGGGTGGCTGTGTGGTATTTACGGACAGTGACTCTTGACATGTGTCAGAACATGGGCCTGCTCCCGTTAGGGCAGTGTTTACTTTTTAAAAACCGGATCTCACAACCTGAAGACAACGGGCCAGGCCTCCCTGCAGCTCTCTGTGGGAGTTAAGAAGCTAGCTGTCTGTGCTGTGGTCTCAGAGTATTCCCTGATTACTGGTCCTGACCAGTACTCGGCTCTTCCATCCTTTTTGTCATGGCTGCTATGTTGAATTATATGATATGATCTGCCCCTCCATTTCCTCAAAACTTACATAGAAAGTTCATATTTCCTTTGTTCTTGGGATTGCTTTGGAGACTTTCTCTGAAGAGGCTCCTCTGCCCCACAGTTTCCTCTCCTGGCGGCTATCTTTGTCTCTCCCTCTTTTATTCTCTTTTAAAACATGTTTATCTTATTTTATATAAACTGTATGCATGCTGGAGCTCATGGAGGCCAGAAGAGGGCATCAGATCCCCCGGAACTGGAGTTACAAGTGGTTGTAAACCTCCCTGTGGGTACTGGGAATTGAACCTGGGTCCTCTGTAAGAGCAGTAAGTGCTCTAACTGCTGGACCACTTCTCCAACTTCATCTTATTCTCACTTGTAATAAAGCCCCTCTTGAATTTTTATTTCTTAGTATTTATTTATTTTCCATACAGAGGGAGGGAGAGAGAGAAGGAGGGAAAGAGGGAGAGAGACAGGTGTGCACAGTTGTAAACGTAAATTATCTCTCTCTTTTTATGATTTTTTGTGTATATATGTAAGCATGCATGAGTATATGTGGATCATATGCACGCAGGAGCCCTTGGAGACCAGAAGAGGGTCCTGGATCCCTTGGAACTGGAGTTACAGGCAACTGTGAGTCACTGTGTGGGTTCTGGGAATTAAACAGTATCCTCTTCAAGAGCAAACCTTAACTACAGAGCCATGTCTTCAGCCACCCCTTCTTTTTAAAAAATATTTTAGTTCATTTTACATTCCAATCAAGGTTCTCTCTCCCTCCCCTCCTCCTGCCCCCTCCCCTCCCCTCAGTCCACTCCCCCATAGGTGAGGGCTACCATGGGGAGTTGACATGGTTTCAGCCATCCCTTCTTAAAATTGTTTCTTGAAATAAATTTTAAGTGTGTGTGTGTGTGTGTGTGTGTGTGTGTGTGTGTGTGTGTAGGCACATGTCAGTGCAGGTGCCTGAAGAAGCCAGAAGAGGGCATTGGCTCCTCTGTAGCTGGAGTTACAGGTGGCTGTAAGCTGTCCATCGCTGGTAATAGGAACTGAACTCCTGTGCTCTGGAAGAGCAGTGTGTTCTGAACTGCTGAGCCATCTCTCTAGCCCCTCAATTACGATCTTCTCTGGGTTATGATCAGGATTGTTATTGAAGTCTGGAGCTGAGGAAACACAGACTGCAGATTCCATCGAGGGCTGAGCATCACACTGCCCTCTGTGTTCTCAGCCTCTGACTATGCGTCCTACAGTGATGGAGCCACCCTTCCTCCCTTCTGGAAAGTGTGGACAGTATTATTAACTCCTAGGTGTGGTGATGGCTGTGAGCTTGTGTCTAGAAGGAACAAGGTAAACAGTTATTATTGTTGCTGAAGGTGTGTGTCTTTCTCTTACTCTCTTATTAGTGTGACTGTCATGGCCAAGGATGGCAGGAATAACAGTTTTGGAGCCAGCAGTGGCCAGTATATATTACTAGTCTCATTGCTGTGACAAAGTACTTGACAAGAAGTGAATTAAGGGGCTGGGGAGATGATGGCTTAGCGGTTAAGAGCACTGGCTACTTTGCACAGGACCCAGGTTCAATTCCTAACACCTACATGGTGGCTTACAACCATCTGAAGCTCCAGTTTCACGGGATTAAATACTTTCTTCTGTTTTTTTTTTGGGGGGGGGCTCTGTACACTCATAGGGGCACAGACATACATGAAAACAAGCATTTATACAATGAGATAAAAAGGAAGAAATCTTAAATGAAGAACTTGCTTTTGCAGAGGACCCAGCTTCATTCCCAGTGCCCACATGTGGCTTACAACTGTCTATAACTCAGTTCCAGGCCATCTGGCTCTTCTTTTGGCCTCTAGGCTTTCCTCTGTCTGGAACTCGATTTCATTGCCTGTAAAATGAACTGGTTAGCCCATCCCTATAATTCCCATCAACGTTCTGTCAAAGAGGCTGAAAGCCCTTTGCTAATTGTGAAGCATCCCATGAGCTGAAGTTGGAAGTGTCCGAGGGAAGGAGAGCTCTCTTCTAGGTGAGTCAGTGTTCTGCCGCCTTACACGCGCGCCCAGGCCCATCAACTTAGGAGGGAGGAAAAGCTTTACTTTGGCTCCAGGTCTTGGAGATTTCAGCTATGAACCATCGCCTGTCACTTTGGGCCTGTGGGAGGCAGCACACCATGGCGAGGTGTGCAAATGGGGAAGCCACTTATTCTAGGGCAGAGGAGAGCAGAAAGGAGGAGCTGGAGCCCCAACAGCTCCTACAAGAGCACTCAGTTTCTTCCCACTGGGTCCCATCTCTTTAAGGTCCACAATCTCCCCACAGTACCACAGATAGTGGGCCTTTGGCAGACATGGATCCAAACCATGTCAGGCTCCTTCTGAAGTCCGATGGCTGTGGTGGGGTGTTGGGGGCACAAAGGTCCTTGCACCCACAGATCACTATTCCGACCAGGAACGCTAAACACACAGGCACCTCTTCTCAACAGAGGAGTGAGAATACCTCTTTTTCTACCCAGAAGGCTAGGCATAGATTTTTTTAATGACCTGGTGACCTCTGCTGTCTGTGGAGGCAGACCTCACCCACCTTCTGCTACAGAGGCAGATCATTCCATAGAACGGTTATCCCAGACTCTTCCCTTCCAGGTCGGTGTGTGACACATTCTTAGGGGAGATGTCATATGTTCTTTATGGTCTGCTGACTTCCATGTGGTCAGAAACCACATTAGAATCTAGACCTTTGCTCTAAGTCCCCCCCCCCCCCCCCCGGCCATGGTCACATGTACTTTGTAAAAGAGTTTCTAAGTTGTCACAACTTAAGCTTTATTGTGTTCCTGGAGTGGAATGATTGATCCTTGGAAACCTTTCCCCAAATTGTACTTATTTTAAATATGCTGACAATGAACTGCCTGGCATTAGACTCCC